GAACCGAAGGGGTCCTGGGGCCGAGCTAGCCGAAGGATCAGCCGAAGCTATGGCTAGATCCTTTGGCAGCTTTGTGAATAGACCCCATAGAGAATTCTCTGGCTCATGATACAAGTATTTTCATTGGTGCTCTCAGAATATCAATGTCATGGGAAGACCCCAGATAGCAGAGAAGATCTGGTAAGGGAACCTTGTACCACTTAAACCAAATCAGATTTTGCCTACGTCTGCTCTCTCACTTATCATCATATATGACACAGAAGAAATACATATATAACAAACCCTGATCCTATAATACAGGGCAGGTCTTGATTATAGCAGCAGAATGGCTACAGTGGTTTACAAGGCCCAGGGAGTACAGATTATGCCCTAGGAACGTATATCATCTTTTTCAGGGCATATTTAATATATCCAAATTCTTTCACTGGCTATAAACCTCAGCAGTGAATACATTTTCTGTAAGGCTAGGCAACCTTTACTGCTACTATTAAAATTAGTATTAAAGGAGAATTATGAGGCAAGTGACTTTCACTCAGCCTCATAATCGATCAGTAGATCGGGAAGTGAGCGAACACATACCGTCGCTCGCTCACTTCTCGATCTCCTGCAGAGAGCCGTAACTGTCACTCACGGCCCCCTGCAGGGATTCCCCCCCTCCCCTGTCCGATCCTCCAGCGCTGACTGGCAGAACGGACGGGGGAGGCAGCGGCGTATTTTGACTTTGTGTTGCGGCGGTGTCCAGTTGATTATCTCTGAACCGCGGCGCTAGGCGTTTGCGTACCGCGGCACCAGCGGAGCAGCCGCCCCGACGGAGGGTGCCGCCCTAGGCAAACGCCTAGTTTGCCTCGCGGTAAATACGCCCCTGGGGGGAGGGGGCGGGTACAGCTGGCTCTGCCGCTAGATAGGCAGAGCTAGCTGTCACTCACGCAGCTGGGTGGATCCAGACAGAATTGTCGGGATCCGTTCTTGCTGCGGCGTCCTCACGTCACCCAAAGCTCAGTATACCGCGAGCTACAGCTCGCGGTATACTGAGCTTTGGGTGACGGGAGGACGCTAGTTTGTGTTCTCCCGTGACCCTGGGGAGAACTATGGGGAAAAGCCCTAACCCCATAGTTCTCCTTTAAGCTCTCAATCTTGTTTTCAATAATTAATCCAGATCAAACTTTACATTTTACCTAAGCACTTACAGTCGTCATCATTAACAGCTGGCTCCAACTCTCCCAGTTCTGATTCCCTGAACTTCCTGTTAAGTGTAAGGTCACAAGGGACAGAGCAGTCCCCAGCAGCTGACCATTAACTAGCTTGGAGAAGGAAAGAAAGAAGAGGGGAAGTCAGGGGAATGTCTTGCCTTACTGTGCCTGCGTGTTTTTAGTGGAGACACACAGAGCTTATTAGCACACACAAGGGTTTCTCCATTGGACCCTGCAAGGGAAAATAGTCACCTTAAAATAGGATATCAGGGCCAGTGCTCAGGGAATCAGCTGATTCCGCATGAAACTAAAACCTTTAAGCAAAAAGGGGCATGTAAGTGATTTCATAAGCATTTGAAAGAGCATAAAAACCTTTTATCTTAAAAAAATAAGTCAACGTAACAGGACTTGCTGTATTTTTCTCGAAGACATTTCACTGGACATCTGACCAGCTTTCTCAATTCAGAATGACTTGTAGGAAAATTCTCTTGGAAAAAATATGGTGAATGTTGCTCCAATCCACATAGTCTGTGGCAACCAGGTGTTGATTGCATTTGCATAATTGGCGTCTATGAGGTGTTATTAACCTGCCCAGAGAGAGGTGTTAAAACATAATTGTTGAGGGTTTGGCTCTTCCATGCTGTGTCATACGCTGGTGTAGCTGCTGTTTTGTTTCACCAACATCATTTTGTCTTCAAGAAAAATACAGCAAGTCCAGTTGCCTTGACTTATGTTTTACAGATATACCATGACCTGGATGAATGAGAACCTTCACAGACATAAAAACCTTTTGACTTTAATATCACTTTAATTATGAAATGCATGTATATTGCACCGCAATGTATGTGTGGCGGAGCTGCGTTGCTGTAATGCATTGGGGTGCCATTGAAAACAAATGGCATTGCAACATGCTAACACACAATGTTTGTTTCAGCCCTAATTGTCTCTGTTGGTTATTTTTTTATAGAGAGGAATAATGAAAATGGCTATGTTGTACACAACAGCCTATTGAATGGTTGTTATATTTTCTAACTTCAGAAGCATGTTAATGATTTCATTTGAATGAACTAGTACTAATATATTATTTTCGGTTTGGTAGTATGTTTTTTTGCTCTTGTTGAGTTGTGGTTGTCCATAAAGGCATGGAAACATTTTAAGCTCAAAAGATTTGTTGTCTGACCGTTTTGTTTGTTTTAAAGTGGCAACATTCTGTTGTTATTTTGCAACATTTCACGTCTCACCAATCTCCTGGCCAAGTTTTGAGAATCTCATAGATCCTGCTGATGTTACTACAGCACAACGCCCAAGCTTTCCAATCTCTTCTTGAATGGTCTTCTTAGGCAAATCTTGGCTCCAGGACGTGGCATGAAGATGGACATGAGAGGCCATAATGGCGGACATGTTTACCCTGTTCTTAAGATGGCAAAGGATTTCCTCTGCACTATGGTTCTGATTAATCTGTCCTTTAAATGTAACTTTGTATGTGTTCATAATCTGGTAATTCCTCCTTGTAGACTGCAATCTTCCAATAAGGTCCTTGGATGTCATCTCCTTAGGCCACAACTTGGGCATAAATCTTACTCCTGTCATTATAGACTTCGGAATTACATTTTTGGAAGAACTGATAACAGGTGGTAGTTTTATAATTGAGGAAGTATTCGTCTTGGTTTTCAGGTTGTCTGTAATATTTGTAAAAAGCATATCTCTAGTACTCTTGGTTGTAATCCTTACTGTGTGGACCTCATTTTGCCTAGTTATGATAGCTCCGCCATAACCATTCGGTAATATCGGGTAAACATATCTGTGATTCATAGGCAGGTCCAGAAATAGAAAACATAAAACACAAAGCAGCAATAAAAAAACAAAACCGATTTTAACGGAGAGTCGGGGCATGATTATAGATCTAGAAACAAAAAGACACAAAACAATGTAAGTAATGTACTATTCTCATTGTGTAAATCACTATGAACTTTGGAACCCTAAAAAAAAGTTTAGCTTATCTAAAAGAGCAATCAACAATTTAAAACATTCTATATATTGAAATATTTGAAACGTTTATGTATTAAAAAGTATTAAATGTATTAAATATTGTTTAAAGGAGAACTATGGGGTAACCTTTATTTCCCCATAGTTCTCTTTAGGGTCATGGGAGGGCATTAACTAACATCCTCCCGTGACCCAAAACTCAGTATATAGTGGGCTATATAGATATATACAGATCCAACCCACTGGCTGATTGACAGCGGACTCTGACAATCTAGAGGCAGAGCCCATTATGCCCGACCCCCTCCCCTGTCTGTCCTTCCAATCAGCGATGGAGTATCGGACAGGGGAGAGGGGGAATCCTTGTGGGGAGCGGTGACTGACAGTCACCACTCTCTGCAGGGAGATGATCGTGAAGTGAGCGATCGGCGGTATGTTTTTGCTCACTTCCTAATCAATAGAGCCGACCTGTGGCAGTTTCAATGTCACACGGCGGCTCTAACTATGGGGGTGAGTGTTATTCACCCATCCTATAGTTCTCCTTTAAAGGGACAAAGCAGTATTAGGTTAGGGTCAAATGGTAATTGGATGCAATTAAACATCCAGTGCCCTTGTTTTGTAGTAGTGCCCATGCTAATGTAGTGCCCCTCTCAAAACAAGAGTGCTTTTTTACATTGAGTTGCTGTCACATTGTATTCAGTCTGATACTGATCTTATAGTCTATGCTCATTTGTTTTCCCATAAGCCATGGGTAGGCAACCTTGGCTCTCCAGCTGTGCCGAAACTACGAATCACATCATGCTTCTGCCTCTGGGAGTCATGCCTGTGGCTTGCAATGCCTTATGGGATTTGTAGTTTCAGCAACCAATAATAGTGTATTATTAATATTTGTGTCCCCCAAGCCAATCACTAGGAGATTCATGGCCAGTAGTGCATGCTGGGAGAAGACATAAATATTCGGGGGCAATCCATGTGAGGTTTTCTTACTCTCCCGGGCTCCTGCCATTGAAGAGACTGCCATGGACTGTATGATCTGGCTAGGCCTGAAGCCTAGGGAGCCAGGCCATGTGCTTGCACTGAGACCTAAGCCTGGGGCCTAGTGAATGAAAGTGAGGATGAAGAGGACAGAGATCATACATTTTAATATGTTTCTTTGCGGCTTAACAAAATAGGAGTCTTTAAATGGTGCGGATATTGGGGGAAATGGGTGTGGTTACGGGGGTGTGGCCACTAAAGGGTGTGGCCACTGAGGAGCGCTGTAAAGCTTTCTCGCACAGGGCTCCTAAAGGCCTACGGCCGGCCCTGGTCCCCTTAACCTGCCGTGGTGGATCTGTAGGATGTATAGAACCTGCTGCAGCAAAACTGACAGGAGGAGATGGAGGGGAGGAGGAGACAGCTGCTGTGTGCAGTGAGAGATGATTCCTCTCTGCCTCATAGGAGTTGTAGGCAAAGAAAGATGTGCACGTGACCAGAATCAACATGCACGGCTCTAACTAAGTAACAGGAAGTGTGAGCGGAGAGAAGAGCAAAAGGAGCGAGCACAGCAGACTTTCTAAAGAGCTTAAAATAGTAAGACTTTATTTTAAAACATAAATAAACGTGGCTTTGGAGAATGTTCATTGTGTAGATGTGTATAAGGAGAAAAAAGCTGAGGGTTTTGTGTCGCTTTAAAAACTGACACTAAACTCAGGAGATAAATCTTAAAATGCATTTAAGTAGCTTAACTATTAACAAAAATGTATCTTATTTGTGTATCACTCGGCTGTAGATCCTCCAATCATCTCTGAATTGGTGCTGACACTGTCCTTCCTTCTGGAGGGTGGCTACTTTTGTTCCCCATGGTCCCTATGTGTGTTGTAATGTAGCCTCTGCTCCAAGCTCCTTCCCATGATGGAATACAATCTCATGTTTATTAATTTGTATTGAGATTGTAGTCTATCATGGGAAGGAGCTTGGAGCAGTGGCTACATTACAACACACATAGGGACCATGGGGAACAAAAGTACCCCCCCTCCAGAAGGAAGGACAGAATCGTAATGCCCCAACGCTTCTCTATGGGAAAAAAAAATGTTTTCTCTATTCTGAGATCGCTCGTGTCAGAATAAGTAAAAAAAGACACAGCCCTGTTTCTCTCCTGGGCGGCCGGTAGCGGGAGGCTCCCAGAGCGCCCGGGAGAGGTTTTTTTTTTCTTTTCTTTTTTTTACAGCAGCAGAGCCGCCGGACAATAGGAAACTATCATTTTTTATTTACTTTTTT